AGGAAATCAGGAAGCAAGCACATGGCACAGAGTGGAGGTTGTTAGTCGAGTCAATCCAGCTGCATCTGCAAACGTCTTCTGCTTTTTGTTAGCATCGTAGGTATGTATTGAAAGTTAAATATATTCTTTGTCATATTAGTTCATTATTTTTGGGAAAATTATATTTTGTAAACATATATTTACACACTGGGAAATAACATTGCCAATTTGGGTTTATAAGGCGGATATATGTGTTAACCCCTTCACTGAAATAAGTCAACAGATAAATACATAATTCATGGCATGTTAAAAATATAAAATATGTAAACTAAAAGTACAAGTTAATGAGTACAGCTGATTTCATTGTTAAACAGTGATTTATTTGATTTCTGTTGAATGTGTTTGTTTAAGAGGAAACAGAACTGATTATAATTTGTATGTTTCAGTTTCACCTTCCTTGCTACGTCAATAAACCTGTGTACAAGGAGTCATCTGTCTGCAGAGTCTTGATGTTCAAGGAGGCGTTTATCTGACTGTCAAGTCATATAGAGCACGTATGATGAGGACAGCACAGTGAAACTACGGCTCTCAGTCCAGCGGGATAACGCAATGTAAGCTGAAAACAAGACTAAATCCCCACACATCATCAGTGGACAACAATTACTCTTCAAGATCGGTAAGACTACACCATGGCAGAGGAGGCGTCTTTAAAGACACGTTCACGAGCCTCATGTTCATCAGTACAATCAAGTGTTTCAGCAACTGGGTCTGCTGCAACAAAGGCAAGAGCAAAGGCTGAAGCTGCTAAGGCACGGCTTGCCTTTGTTGAAAAAGAAGTTAGTCTGCAGCTAGAAAAAGTAAAATTGGAGGCATCTTTAAAGAAACTTAAATATGAGGAAGAGTCAGCAGCAGCTATTGCTGAAGCAGAAGCCCTCGAAGCTGCAGCTGATATTAACAGTGAAAAAAGTGAAAAGCAGAGCTCTAAGTTATGCTTAGATTCTATTCCATTGGACTCTTCAGCACGCACAGAGCAATATGTTGTCAACCAAAATCGGATACGGGAAAATAACTCACAGCCATTTGTTGATCCAACGAAAACCGAACAGATGTCTAATTGTGTTCTGTCTGACCAACTTAAAGTAAATGCTGCACCCTTTCTTCCAAACTGCATTACTACTGCATCCCAATCACAACCCATTGCTCTAGATCCTCCTCCAGTTGGTCGCAAAGAAAGATTTGAGCATGCTAGGATGCAATACGGTAACTGTCGTGATTCCCAATATTACAGACCTTCAAATACGACACCTTCCTGTCCACAACCTGCACTCACAAATAACGACAGCTCAAACATGAGTGACTTTGTACGATATTTAGCTCGTCGGGAGCTTGTGGCAACAGGTTTATTACAATTTAATGATAAACCACAGAACTACAGAGCCTGGAAACGTTCCTTTCTGTCCGCAACACAGGATTTAAACCTGTCACCGAGTGAAGAAATGGATCTTCTGCTGAAGTGGCTCGGCAAAGAATCAGCACAACATGTGGAACAGATAAGAGCGATACACATCAACTATCCACAAGCAGGACTGGATATGATATGGAACAGACTTGATGAAACCTATGGATCAGCTGAAGCTATAGAAAATGCGTTGTTCAAACGTATTGAAGACTTCCCAAAAATACCTAACAGGGATTCCTATAAGCTAACCAAACTGGGCGATCTTCTAATGGAACTTTCATCTGCCAAAACTGAGGGCAACTTACCTGGTCTGTCTTTCCTCGACACAGCTAGAGGAGTCAACCCAATCGTGCAAAAGCTACCGTTTCGCCTACAGGAGAGGTGGGCAACAGTCGGTGCAACCTACAAACATCTAAATGGGGTCACCTACCCTCCCTTTGCTTATTTTGTTGACTTTGTATGCCAGGAGGCTAGGATCGCCAGTGACCCATGTTTTAACTTCATCTCTCATACAGACGCAACACAGATGAGCAGACCGGCTCCAAGGTCGAACAAGTTTAAGGAAGTATATGTGCACAAGACAGAAATCTCTCCTCAAGCCTACACGTATACTGAAAAAAGATTAAGACCGGATGAATACGACAAAATGTGTCCTATACACAAGAAACCTCACCCTCTGCATAAATGTCGCACATTTAAAGAGAAACCCATCAAGGACCGTATGACATTTCTAAAAGAAAATAACATTTGTTACCGGTGTTGTTCGTCCTCCACACACATTGCCAGGAACTGCAAAATGAAGCTACAATGTGAAGAGTGTAAGAGCGAAAATCACCACACAACACTGCACCAAGAACCCAGAAAGGGGGTGAACGCCTTACATGAGCATGGCGGGGAGGATGACGAACCAACAGAACAACCAAAGGTAAACTCAAAATGCACCGAAGTCTGTGGTAGCGAATGGACTGATCGTTCTTGCTCCAAAATATGCCTTGTAAAGGTGTACCCAGCTGGCCACAGAGACAAGGCTGTAAAGCTGTATGCCATACTGGATGAACAAAGCAATCGATCACTTGTGAGGTCACATTTTTTGATGTCTTCAACGACCAGAGCCCAAGCGCTCCATATACACTGAGAACATGTGCTGGGGTTAAGGAGGCAGCTGGGAGAAGAGCTAGTGGCTATGAAGTGGAATCATTAGATGGAAGTGTGCGCATCCCACTACCAAGTCTCATAGAATGTAATGATATTCCTAACAACAGAGAGGAGATTCCCACACCAGAGGTGGCCTTTCACCATCCACACTTGGAGTCGTTGGCTTGTCTTATCCCTGACATCGACCCCCATGCCCAGATCATGTTGCTGCTTGGTCGAGACCTTATTAGAGTTCATAAGGTGCGCAAGCAGGTGAATGGCTCACACAACCTACCTTATGCTCAAAAACTCGACCTAGGGTGGGTTATTGTTGGAAATGTATGTCTAGGAAGTAACCACAAGCCACAATCAATCAACACCTTTTACACCAAAACCATGGAGACAGCACGCCCAACGCTCTTTGAACCTTGCCCCAATGTGTTCAGTGTTAAAGAGAAATATGACAACACACACATTCCGATACATCCTTCGTCCTTATCTGAGATTAAACCAGACTGTGAGGCGGACCATCTTGGTTATGTTGTCTTTAAAGAGACAAAGGAGGACAACCAGCTGGCTCCTTCAATCCAGGATTCCCTTTTTATGGAAATAATGAATGAAGGTCTGCATAAAGATGCAAATAATAGTTGGGTGGCGCCTTTACCCTTTAAACATCCACGACAGCGGCTGCCCAACAATAAGCCTCAGGCATTGAAACGACTCATCTCCCTGAAATACAACTTCAGAAGGAAGCCAGAAATGAAGGAACATTTCATCAACTTCATGGAGAAGATGTTCGAAAAAGGCCATGCAGAAGTAACCCCTCCGATAGTAGATGACAAAGAACAGTGGTACTTACCCATTTTTGGCGTGTACCATCCGAAGAAGCCCGGCCAAATTAGAGTTGTGTTTGACTCGAGTGCTCAGTACGAGGGTGTGTCACTCAATGATGTCCTGCTGTCTGGACCAGACCTGAACAACTCTCTGCTGGGTGTACTTCTGCGGTTTAGAAAGGAAGCAGTTGCCTTCACTGTCGATATAGAACAAATGTTCTACTGCTTCTATGTGAGAGAAGAAGACAGAAACTTCCTGCGTTTCCTGTGGTTCCAAGACAATGACCCTTCTAAAGATGTTGTGGATTGTCGTATGAATGTACATGTCTTTGGAAACAGACCTTCACCAGCAGTGGCTATTCATGGTCTCCATCAGTCTGTCCAAGATCGAGAGTCCAAGGTTGAGCCTGATGTCAAGAACTTTGTCACACGTGATTTTTACGTGGATGACGGTCTTAAATCCATGCCCTCCACCGAAACAGCAGTGAGTCTCCTGAAAAGGACTCAAGAGGTTCTTGCTAAGTCAAACCTCCGACTGCACAAGATAGCCTCAAACAAAAAAGAAGTTATGGAAGCCTTTCCGTCCACTGATCACGCTAATAGCCTCAAAGACCTTGATCTAGATGATGACTCACTGCCGCTGCAACGCAGTCTTGGACTCAACTGGGACCTCCAAGCAGACTGTTTTGTGTTCAATGTCTCAGACAATGTGAAACCATACACTCGGCGGGGTGTATTATCCACTGTTAACAGTCTTTACGATCCTCTTGGATTTGTGGCGCCAGTAACTATCCAAGGAAAGGCTATTCTGTGAGAACTAACCACTGAAAAAGGAGATTGGGACTCACCATTACCAAAAGATATGGAGCAAATCTGGGAGTCATGGAGAGCATCTTTATCACAACTGTCTGGGTTTTCTGTTCCCCGACTATACACACAAACATCGCCTTCAGAAGCTTACAGAAGAGAACTGCATGTCTTCTGTGACGCATCAATCAAGGCTATTGCTGCAGTAGCGTATCTAAGAGTCGTTGATGCACGTGGAAATTGTTGTGTTGGATTTGTGATGGGCAAAGCCAAACTCGCCACTCGTCCTGAAATGACCACGCCAAGATTAGAACTTTGTGCAGCAGTTCTTGCAGTAGAACTGGCAGATTTAGTCTCTACAGAAATGGATCTCCAGCTCCATACTATGTCCTACCATTCAGACAGCAAAGTGGTCCTGGGCTACATTTATAACGAAAACAGGCGGTTCTACGTCTTTGTCAGCAACAGAGTACACCGCATTCGGAAATCATCCCTTCCAAACCAGTGGCACTATGTCCCAACAGACCAAAATCCTGCAGATCATGCTACACGTTCTGTTGTGGCAGGTCACCTAAAGAACACAAACTGGTTGAGTGGCCCAAAATTTCTGGTAAGTCCAGAACCAAGTATCAACAATGACACCTTTGATCTTGTGGACCCGGTTGCAGACCCAGATGTGAGGCCTTGGGTGTCTACCCTGTCTACCACAGTGTCTTCAAAAAACATTGGTAGTGAACGCTTCACCAAGTTCTCTGCATGGAACTCTCTCACTCAGACCATGGCTCGGTTGTTGCACATAGCAAAGATGTTCAGCACAGCGAAAAGGGAGGTCCGATCCTGCAAAGGCTGGCATTGCTGTAAGACAAAGGTAACTGTGAAGGAAATCGACCAAGCTGCAAACGTTATTGTGCGTACGGTGCAGGAGGAAATCTATGCTGAAGAGATCAAGTGCATTCAGAAGTCAGAAAGAATTCCTAAAGGCAGCCCTCTCTACAGACTGGACCCATTCATCGACAAAGATGGACTTCTCAGAGTTGGGGGCCGTCTCGTCCATTCCACTCTTGGGCAAGTCGAAAAGAATCCATTGATCGTCCCTGGGAAACACCATGTTGCAACCTTGATAATAAGACACCATCATGAACAAGTACACCATCAAGGCCGCCATTACACGGAAGGAGCTATTCGGACATCAGGATTTTGGATAATTGGCTGTAAAAGAAGGGTTAGCAGCATCATCAACCAGTGTGTCACCTGTAGACGACTAAGAGCTCCTTTGAGTGTCCAGAAGATGGCAAATCTTCCAACAGATCGTTTGACTACAGATCCTCCGTTCACAAATGTGGGCCTGGATGTGTTCGGGCCGTGGCACATCTGTTCACGTCGTGCAAGAGGTGGCCTGTTACACAGTAAAAGGTGGGCTGTAATATTTACGTGTATGAGTGTAAGAGCTGTTCACATCGAGGTCATCGAGTCACTTGACGCATCAAGCTTCATCAATGCATTGAGGCGTTTTCTTGCAGTGCGAGGGCCAGTCAAGCTCATACGTTCAGACCGTGGCACTAATTTCGTCGGAGCCTGCAAGGAGTTAAATATACCCTCAAACATTGACAACTCAGCGATCAACACTTACCTCTTGAAAGAGGGAATAACCTGGATCTTTAATCCTCCCCATGCTTCCCATCATGGTGGTACATGGGAGAGAATGATTGGCCTGGCAAGAAGAATACTTGACACCATGTTCCTTCAGCTAAAAGATAAACTTACCCATGAAGTGTTGGTGACCTTTATGGCAGAAGTAGCGGCTATCATCAACGCTAGGCCTCTGGTGCCAGTTACACATGACCCTGAAGATTTGTACATGCTCACTCCAGCCACTCTTCTTACTCAAAAGGTAAACGTCCTTCCAGCTCCTGTTGGTGACTTCGGAGTGTCTGACCTCTACAAGTCTCAGTGGCGCCAGGTACAACACTTGTCCAACACTTTCTGGGACAGATGGAAAAAGCAGTATCTGCCCACACTTCAGCCACGCAGGAAATGGCAGTCTACACAACCTAACGTGACAGAAGGAAGTATTGTTCTTTTAAGAAATAACGACCTGGCAAGGAACGAATGGCCCACTGGACTGATAACGAAGACTTTTCCAGGTGAAGATGGAAAAGTGCGGGAAGTTGAAGTGAAGATTGTAAAACCAGGAGGGACTGCACTCTATCGTAGACCTATTACAGAGATAGTAGTTCTCCTTCCGAAAGAGGATTAGTCATACAAACTGTTGAAGTTGTTAGTGACGTGTATACACGCCAGGCGGGGAGTGTATTGCTACGAGCAAATGTAATGTTAATCTTGTTTGTTTTCGTAAGAATTAATGTTTAAATCTCATTGTTAGAAAAAATGGTACTGTCGCTTTAAGAGGGACTGGATCTCAGACACAGGAAGTTGCATAGGCTATAGAGTGAGGAAATCAGGAAGCAAGCACATGGCACAGAGTGGAGGTTGTTAGTCGAGTCAATCCAGCTGCATCTGCAAACGTCTTCTGCTTTTTGTTAGCATCGTAGGTATGTATTGAAAGTTAAATATACTCTTTGTCACATTAGTTCATTATTTTTGGGAAAATTATATTTTGTAAACATATATTTACACACTGGGAAATAACATTGCCAATTTGGGTTTATAAGGCGGATATATGTGTTAACCCCTTCACTGAAATAAGTCAACAGATAAATACATAATTCATGGCATGTTAAAAATATAAAATATGTAAACTAAAAGTACAAGTTAATGAGTACAGCTGATTTCATTGTTAAACAGTGATTTATTTGATTTCTGTTGAATGTGTTTGTTTAAGAGGAAACAGAACTGATTATAATTTGTATGTTTCAGTTTCACCTTCCTTGCTACGTCAATAAACCTGTGTACAAGGAGTCATCTGTCTGCAGAGTCTTGATGTTCAAGGAGGCGTTTATCTGACTGTCAAGTCATATAGAGCACGTATGATGAGGACAGCACATATATATATATAATCACAGTGCTGCCTGGTAGTACCATACTGCATCATTTGGATAGTATACTTTTGTTAGTATAATTTTATATTGTAGTAATGTATTATCATATCATTTATCACATGGTATGTTTCAGTTTTGCGTCAGTACTGTTTTGTTGTACAGTATCATAGCATCCCACTGTGGTTGTACTACTAAATTGTATAATACTATTAAACTGTACTGTAATGTTGTATCATAGTATCATTTCATTGTATTATTGTATTTAACATTGTCTGGATCAAAACTGATCTGACTTTAATAGTGGTCACAGTAACCCTAACCCTAAAATATGTTTTGTATCCTTTGTACTACTGTATCTTATTGCACTGTATTGTATGAAGTATTGTCCGGTGTTATGGCCATATTTAATTGCTTGGATCACAACAAAGATGCATTGTTTGACATCATCCATTGGTAAAAATATTTACCCTAGAATGTAACTAATTGTATTGTGATAATTTACTATGTAGTATCCTATTGCAGCCGTGTTACATGGCATAGATCACTATTGTTATTATCAATAAGGGGTTTTTATAACCGAGTTTCAAGGAAAAAAGTGACTACAAAGCTGAGCTGGGTTTCAAACAGAATATTGATATTCATAATGTAAGATAAATGTTGGTACCTGCAATATTTATTTTAAGGTAACTGCTGACCATATGTCTTTCACTAGCATCAACAGTGAAAATGTGATATTTTACAGTGGTTTTTTTTCCCCCCAAAATATTATAATTTATGGATCAGTTTAAAATACAGAGAGCATAAGAGAATTTGCTGTCAAAGCTTCTTTAGCAAGAGGGAACATGAGGGCATACTGAAGCTAAATCAAACCCCTGGCATGAACAAAGCAGCAGAAGGATAGCTGTAGGTGATTTGATATGCAAATGCAATTACCTTATTTGCTAATCTACATGATGTCTCCCTTTGGCAAGACAGAGGTGTCCAATTTTGAATGAATCAGATCCTTTTTCTCTTTTTTTTGTTACAGAAATCGGTGAGCTGAAGCTTCATTAGTTACACAGCATCCTGCTTTCAAGAACTCTAAAGTTTAATTGTGCAAAGATCTCGCCATTTAAAATAACAGTTTTGAGCTTACCTAAAAGCAGCATTATCATCAAGCAGCTTTATTTATATAGTAATTTTAACGATCGAGATGACACACCAAAGTGCTGAAGCACTGTTAAAAACCTAAAATTAATGAGCTGACCGTGTAAAAGCAATTTTTTAAAAACGATTTTTAAGCCTACTCTTGAACACCTCGATCGTATTGGCAGAGGCATTCCTGAGTCTCGTACCAATCTGTAAATTAAAAAACGAAGACATTGGGATGGCTCAACCATAGCATAGTAGCTTGGATAGATAAGGAGGTGTGTTGCCATGCAAAGCATAAAAAAAAAACAAGAATTTTGAAATCAGTTGTGTACCAAACTGGGATAGGAGTTGAGCTTGAAAGTACTGCAATTACAATCTTTTGGACTATATGAAGGAAAAAAAATTTAAGTTGTTGTTTTTGGCAATTAATTTATGCCATGTTTTTTTAAGCATAGCTAAATAAAATCAATTCAGATTCTAAGATTAAAGGCTGATAAAAATAATTGGACTCTACTGCCACACATATTTTAGACGTTTACTTTAAAGCTGCTTTCCGGGGTTCACTTTCAGAAAATATGTATGATTTGTCAGAAATCCGTGAAAGCGATTGTCTCATCTTGTACTGTGACAAAATGTATGCGATACGTCCTTTTTTTGGTTTTCGGCTAAGCACGGCCCCTGCCCCACAGAGCTCCGTGCAATAGGAAACTGAGCGCCGACCAGAACTAACCAATAGCGTTCGACTACTGCTTACTTGCTTCAAATTTAAAGAATACCTCGACTGATGCAGAGTTGATGAACTTTTCATGGACAAGTATGTCTTTAAAATAGAAATATATGAGAACACAACGTGACATGAGAACAATACTCGTTAAAAAATGTGTTTTAGCTCTGTTTGTCAGCTACAGAAGCACATTTTTAAACAGAAACGTGAAGTCACCCTCTTAAAAAACAGAGGAACAGAGTTTTTGTGTGAAATGCTTGTCAGCCACTAGATGGTGCCACCAGATAAGAGAAATACTCCGGAAAGAAGCTTTAACTTAACTTGTTGGATAAAATTTTACATTAAAAAGATTGTACTTATTAATAATCAGTGGAAGTTCACACATTAGAATGTTACAGCAGACTGGCGATCCTACCAATACACAAAGTTTGAACTGCCGCAGTAGCATGCAGATTTTGGTGTTTTATTGCATTTTTTTCCCAATGTCATGCAATTGACCAACACTTATTGGGCATCCCTGAATAAACATTATAACCTAATATGATGTTCTTAGCAAAGTAAACAACCCTGTGTTCATTTCCAGCCTTCCTATAGACCGTTACACATCACTAAAATGTATGACTACTGAAAACAAAAATGCACCGCTCCCGACACAGGGTAGACCATTTTTGTTGGGCAAGACACTGGTTGAGCACAACTTCTAGCTGTTTCCTTGGCATTTCCATGTTATTTATTAATTATATTGTAGGTAAAGTTGCTGTGTTGTGGCTCATTTTGATAGCCTGGCAAGTCAGACTAAAGAATTATATTATTTAGTCTGGAAACACTATTGACGGCTCTCGGTCGTAAAGCGGGTTCTACCATTGTCTTTGAAACTACCCCAGCATTCTACTGGACAATGAACAGTGTGATGTACTCACCGTAACGGAAGTCGGTCAACAAGACTGAAGAAAGCAAAAACACATCCTTTTTCTAAATAAAGGACTTAAGTACATCAATCTGCTCCTGATTCTAATAAAACCCAAGTCCAAATAGTCCACAACCAGTGCTGGACTGACCATAGGGCATAGCGGGCAACTGCCCGCTGGGCCGACCCTTTCATCTTTTATGGGCCGGTGTCAGTTTTTTTTTTTTTTTTTTTTTTTCCTGGCGTCTAGTTGTTGCGGACAACTTGCCCGCGCCGCCCCACGCGACGCCTCGTAAAAGTTGGTGGATTGGCCAATTGGTAATAATACACTCTGGGCTGGACCAATAGCCAGAGGTCTGATGCACCCGCCAGTTGTTTGTGAATCTCAGTAAACAGACAGACGAGCTTAACAAAATGGAGAACAAAAAACGGAAAGGAGAAGCGGAGAAAATTCGACTAAAAAAGAAACTGGCCCTTCAGGCTGATGCTGGCACATGTGTTAAAATCTCACAGTTGTTTGGTAGTGAAGGTTCAAGTAAAATCAATTTAGGAAGTGATGGAGCCTCAGCCCAGCGACAGGTTGGAGAAGAAAAGAGGGAGGAGGAGGAGAAACCCGAGCCGGTGTTGTGCCATAAATTGACTCGCTGCCAAAAAATGATTAGCCACCGCGGGATCGCGCACGGTTAGGCAATTGCATTTCTAGACAAAATTCCCCAGGATTTCGCCCTAAAACTCAGCATATCTAGCAATATGGACATTCAGAAAGCAAAGATAACCTCTTCCGGTACTTAAACAGATGTTTATCGCGGATATTAGTGTGGCAGTGTTTGTGGCACCCTGCACGGGAGCACGAGGACGTGCTTGTGGAAAGAGGGAGGAAGATGTGGCAGTGTGAGCGTCCTGTCACAGTGTCCCGATTGATTGTGCGCCCTGGTTACTTAGCCAAGGAGATGTCCCTTTGGCTGACTGGTTAGAGCGTATGACTTTCACCCGGGAGTCTGGGGATCGAATCCCGCCTGGGTACTCCTTTCTGCACCTTGCCACATTAGTTTTTCCAGTTCGGAAGTTGTTTTAAGTGTTGCTATTTGTCTTAAACGTTCACAATGAGGATATATTAATCCTTTTTGCAATATTTGCGATTGAAAGATGGTTTGTGCCACAAACTTTGTGGTAAGAACTGGCTTTCTTTATGTTACAGCCTTGATACTAAAAAAATAAATAAACAATGTAAAATGGCACCCTGTATTGAATGTAAACGTTGTATAAATGGAAATAAACAATTCTCCAGCGATTTAATTTTTTCCCCTTCCTTTCTTTAGTCCACTTGACATGGAGCCACAGTTAACTAGTTTGGGGCACATTTTTACTTGAAAAAAAGTATTTAAAATGATCAAGCTTTGGCTTTAATGACACTGTGTAGGTTTCTATCTATACATTACGTTGCTCTATTTAAAAGTAACAAGATAAAAGCACTTCAGCACATAAAATCAAGATTGTCACTTGCCAAATAGACTACACCCTCCCGTTTACCTATAAGAAATGCCTCAAAATATCTTTAAATTCTTTATTGATGATTTAATTGTAGACAACTAAAATGGCATTTTACTTGCCAAAAAGTGATTGAATCGCTAAGATTTTCATGGAGGCTAAAATTGACCAAATAAGGGTTTTATGTATTATCTGTTGATGTTACTGTACTCATACTGCCTACCGTGTCATCAAAAACACCCCAAAAATGGCAAAAAAAAAAAAAAAAGAAGATAATTTCCCTTGCCAAAAATTGATTACAGTGTCCTGGTCACCTGTAAAGGGTTACATTTACCTAAATATTACTTTATTTATTATCTCTTGATGTTATTAGTGCCATCACAGGATGCCGGTGTCGTTCACATTCATAAACACCTCAAAAATGGCAACAAATGATCATTTCCCTTGCCAAAAATTGATCACAGAGTCCTGGTCACGTGTAAAGGGTTAAATTGACCTAAATATTACCTTATTTATTATCTCTTGATGTTATTAGTGCCATCACAGGATGCTGGGTGTCTTCCACATTCATAAACACAGAGTCCTGGTCACCCATAAAGGCTTAAATTGGCATAAATATTACTTCATTTATTATGACGCTGGGTGTGTTCCACAATCATATTCGAATAAACGTGAAAATATTCTGTCCGAATATCTGTTTCTTGTTATAAATATAACAGCTAGAAGGATTTACAGTTAAAATAGGAGAAACACGTGAATCCCCAGGAGGAGTCGTAACACCACTTGCCTCATGCACATAAGTGACCAAAACAAAGCAGCATGGAGACACTCCGTCTCCAACCACCTCTCAGGCAGCAGCCTGCACTCCCAAGTTCTACACGTCACCAGAACAAAACCAACCGCAACACAATAAAAGCAGTGTTATACAAAATGGAAGGCCTGTAGTGTTTATTCTCTTACAGTTACAACTTATCAATTTTTTGGAGGAATTTATTTGAGAATTTTTTGGTTTTTATTAATTGTGCAATAGAAAAGTAATCGCTAGATTAATCATCTAAATAGTCATTAGAATAGTCGACTATTCGATAAAATAATCGTCAGAATAATCATTTTAAAAATAATCAGTTACCCCCAACCCTACTTTTTAGAATACCAGGATAGGAAGGATGGTGTAGGTTTACGTTTATTAGATTGATACATAAATACTACCAATAAGAAAGTGTACGTTGGTGTGTGTCAGAAACAGCATAAGGCTTAATGTCTTTTCCAAAAAAAAACAGGTGATGGGCCGGTCTCCAGTCAAAATGCCCGGGCTGAATTTTTGTCCCAGTCCAGCCCTGTCCACAACTGATGTAAAAGCTTTTTATAATGAGCTGTCACCATTTTGTTCCACTCCGTCGCATCATCCTGCCCACCAAACCAATAAAGCGCCTTGATTGAACCACAGAGCAGACGGAGTGTTGTGATTGGCTCACCACTGTGGACCAATCACAGCGCTCTATCGGTTTAAAACCCCGATCAAGAGCTGTGGTTGGCTCACGCTGCTAGGGGCTGCGGAGGTTCCAATGGAGCGTTCCTAGAACAAACTTAGCAAAGCAAGAGTTTGGTCTAGTTCACTGGGCTAAAATTTTGATGCATTGTGCTTTTCGTTGTTGCACTGTGGTCTTTATATTTCAGTCAATCACACAGGTTACTGTAGAGAACAGTTTATGTAAAATTTAACCATTTAGTGGTTAGCTTCAGTGAAACAGATTCTAAAGCTAATTGGCTTTAGAGTAACTTCATATTTAACCCATTATATTTTCATGGAAATGTCAGCCAGGTAAACAAGAAGCATTTTTCTACTCAAAAATATCAAGTGAGTCCTTTTTACTCACAAATTGCATATCTCAGTGTACTTGTGTTAGCTGTGCTTCTGTTTAGACAAATTCCCTTGCTGGCCATCTCATTGAGTACCAAATAAATTTCCATAAATAAATAAATAGAGGCATTTTTCTCGGTTTCCTTTTGTTTAATTCCACAGACGATCTGTTTCATTGTGGGGAAACAGGGCCGAAATGGATGATTGATTTATGGAAATCCACTCTGAGTGGATGACATTTGTCATATCAATAGCATTTCTGATGGAAACAATAACCGTTTTTCATGAGGGATGGAGCTCCAGGTAATAAAGACCACAAGGGAATGACACACAAACTGGTAGATTTCATTAATGTGAAAAGAGAGCTTTCATAATGCCCATTTGGACCACAGTGTCTGTAATTTGAGACTTGATTGCTTCGTCTTAATTCTCTAAAAGAAAAAAAGATGTGATCACAAAGTAAAGGGAGAGCGACATGCTTAAATATACACACAGAGTCGTGCACACATCTGCTCATCAGCAAGCCTGTTGGAAACTGTCACACGCCTGGCAGGTTCTTTAACTTGGGCAGATGGCGCAGCACAATTAGGCCCACCAAATCTTTCAATCAATCTCTCGTACGACATTTGAGGAATGTAGACCCACTTTGGCCTTCTTGTCTTTCACTTGTGTGTCCACTTTGTTGTGTATTTCTACTCTCATGTTCTGCAAATGATGTCTTTCCTAAAGAAAAAAGTTTCAGAACAGTATTTTATTTGGATTTCCTCGTTCTTTCCCTTTATTTTTCCCATCATGATTGTCACCACACCCAGTTTGTCTACGTCTTCCTCTGCCCCACACTGTTGGCTTGTTTAACCACTGGCCTGAATGCAAGACGGTACGGTAGACAATAGCCAAGCTAAAGTGTTTCATTCACACCCAATTACTGTGAAAGAGATTTTTCAAGCCAGAAATTCACAGAGGAGCACAATAAGAGCGTCAGAGGGAACTGAGACATCCCTGGCATTTTACATTCCGTCCCGTGTTCCCCACACAAAGAGAGATGAAAAGCGATCTGGTGTATCCAACACCGGCGAGGGCCATTAGCCAGAGCCATTTAAATGAGGATAACTCCTGACTGCGGCGCTGAGACGGGAAACATCTGCTGCTCGAGCTGGGCCCTAGCTGGCCCTGAGGATTCTGCCTTTGATCAGCGGCCCTCGCTACTGCCTTCCTCAACAGCTCAGATGAAACAGCCTCTCGAACACAAAAAAGAGAAACAAAGGATGCATTTGTGTACAAACAGAAACTCCAAGACTTCCTCTTCATAAAAATCCACAGCATCATACGAGGACTTTTTTTTTCCCAGTGAAACTTTCACTTTCTGGTTTCCCGCACGAAAAACTATGACGGATCGTCATTTCCAGCGGAAGACAGCCAAACACCTCACTCAAGCGTGAGCCAGATGCCACCTTTGGACTGCCAATCCCACTGTTGTATTTCCCCCACCTGTGGCGGGGAAGATGATTCACTAGGCCTGCCAGACTGCATCGAGGGACACAGTGCACTGGGGCGTACTCTCTGCCAGCACAGACAGAAGGAGGGGGAAGAAAAAAAATACACACCATACCTTCTCCAATGCACTGTGACCCGCAAAAAGCAGTTGGTAAAATAATGTGGCCTGTGAGCAGATGTATCATACTCTGCCTACTCCGTGTGTAACATTTCACCAATTTGAATCAAGGCATCGGGCCAAATGATTACGATGTGGCAGACAGGCACAGATCTGGGCCTTATACACAGAGAAAATGAAATAAAATCACCGTTGCCCCGCATGAACACACCAGCTGCACCACAAAAGCAATATGAGAATTATGGGTTAAATTGGATTTTTTTTTTTCTGAAGACACCATGTATATGTAATTTTTGGGCACTGTATTTTTAGCTGAGATACCCACGCTCCACCTGTGCAGCATTCCTCTTTGAATACAGAAACTACAAAAAGACTGTTTCCTTTTACCGACACAAGCAGAACGCCACTTACAAAAAAGGTGACGCAGATTTCACTCTGAATTTACATCCACGACATCTTTCCCCACCAAACATAAAAATATAAAAAATACATTTTCTTATTCTGTACCCGCATCACTGTCAGACACGCTTTTGTATTTATCCTGACTTTAAAGACTGATTTTTGGCACAGTGGCACGGTGAAACAAGCCGATTTAAAAGATAGAAATCTTTCTACAGCCTCCAACAAAACGAGGGTGTGGGAGATAAAACTTTGTTTAAAAGTTTGTAAATAGGAAACTTTTTACTGATTGGCTCAATGAAATGAACTTACTTGTAATGTTTACTTGGTGAAGTGCCTTGAGACGACTCTTGTTGTGATTTGACACAATATGAATAAATTGAGCTGAATTTAAATAGAAAGTGAAACCATAATATCTTCTTTACAGCGCTGCCATATGAATTCACGGACAACAAAAGATGTTTGGATCTAGAAAACAGCAACTCTCGTTCACTCTGCCAAACAGTGTTGCTAACTCAGCGACTTTGTCGCTGTTCCTAATGACTTTTGTCCAAAAAGCACCTAGCGACATTTCTTTTGCTACTTTCTTGTAGATATTTCCTTCAGATTCGCAACACAAAGAAAACATTTGTACTCTGGACCATTCTTCCGGGAGCAAGGAAATAGAATGATCTGTGCATGCGCACGAGGAGTTATGCTGACAGACTGACCAATCAAAAACCTTTCTTAGCCGAGTGTGAGGAGCAAGGTACAGCTGCAGAACTGGGCCAATTTACGCCTGCAGCTGCTGCAGGTTCGCGTTTCTACTAGAGACCGTGCAGGTGTGAATCTGCAGTCTCTGGGTCTGCAGCCATCAGGCACTGTGGCCCTTCCTGCCTTCTGCAAATAAAGTCAGCGGGAGTTTGAACTACCGTCACACGCAGCTCTGTGGCTCATCTGAATTTCCTTCAGTAACACAAGGATGGTAATATCATGAGACACCCGCTCCCTTTTCCTGAGTGCACCGGTGTGTGCCGTTATTATCACAAACTAGATGGAGAGAAAACACAACGGAGAAGTAAAGAAACTATAAGGGCAAAAAAGCCGCTGTTCTAGAAAAAGCTGGTAATGCACAAACATGAAAGAATGTCTGTGAGAAAGAGGAGAGCAGGAGGTCTGGGCTGTCCTATAACAGAACAGTTGGATCACCCACCAAATCTCCCTTGATATCACTTTATTTACACAGTTAGAATTAATTTGGCACATCAAAGCAATTTGGGCCATTTTAATCATACTATTAAATCATTTTAACTAATAAAGTAGTTTTTATTTGTTATGTAACATGTTATTTAAATATAAATTTATATATATATAGGCAAGGCATGGCAGCTTTATTTATATAGCACATTTCAAACACAGGGGTAACTCAATGTGCTTTACAATTAACATGAAATGGCACGACCATAAACAGGAAAACACTAATTAAAAATACACAGAAATAAAATTATAATTCAGAGAAAAAAGGAAAAGACAGAATTAAGGTTGAGCAATGACATCACAGATTACAGTGGAGACGATGCAGCATGAGAAAGAGTTCATTCAACGGCTGATGAGTACATTGGGGTTTTTAGTTTGGTTTTAAACAACACTAGGGTTTGGGCCGGTCTGGGGTCAGGAGGAAGCTGATTCCATATGTGAGCAGCATAATAGCTAAAAGCATCTTCATCCTTATTTGGTTCTGAGCCGTGGTTCTACTAGCTGAATGTTTCTGTTAGCAGAGGCGTGTCTTCAGCCGAATCTGCATGCATATACCGAAGCAACTATCTCGGAGGTACAAACACTCAGGAGACATCAGTTTACTTCCTGGGAATCTCACAAACGTGATTTCCTCTCCCTTTAATAGTCTTGCGTAAACACGCAAAAAATAAAATAAAATAAAATAAAAATAAAAACACAGAACAGGAAGTACCCCTACAAAATAAAACACCAACAAATGAGAGCATACACATACTTAACACCCCCACTTGCGTTCACTTTGTCAACCTCACTGTTTCATAAAGAAAAGAAAATTGAAAGTTTGTTTCCATTACATATTTACACTCCAAACATATATTCTTCGAACTTGCATAGCTTTGCCTTTGTTGCTGGCTTTATCATGACATCTGCAACCATCAGACGTGTCGAACAATATTCCAAAATCAAATTACCAGCTTTGACTGTTGATCTTATGAAATGATTTTTAATATCTATATGTTTACACCTCTGCCTGCTTACAGGGTTCTTTGCCAATGTTATTGTTCCTTGATTGTCCTCAAAAATCTTTGGTGGTACCTTTTGATGTTCATACATACTTTGCAACAGTTGTTTCAGGTACAAGCATTCTTGTGCTGTTATTGCCAAAGCAATGTACTTCGCTTCACAAGTTGACAAAGCAACGGTTGGCTGCTTCTTTGTCTTCCATGACACTAGTGTACCATTTTCACTTAGACTTATACAGTAGCCTGTGATACTCCTCCCATCAGTCTCATCTGCTGCCCAATCGGAGTCACCGTGAGCTTGAATTCTCAGATCTTTGTCAATTCTTCTGTAACTCAGGGTTTTGTCCTTCGTTTGTTTTAGGTATCTCAGAACATGCTTAACAGTAGTCCAATGTTCCATGGTTGGTTCTTTGAAGTATTGCAATAGTTTGCTTATGACAAAGCTCAAATCCGGTCGTGTGCAAGAAGTCAAGTAAATAAGGCTACCTACTGCCTCTCTGTACATCCTGATGTCTTCCATTTTCTCCCCATCATTATTATAGTTCAGCTTTGACTCACAAGGAGTTGATCTTGGTTTACAATCCTGCATTTGAAACCTTTTCAGAATATTTTCTACATATTGCTCTTGTGACATTTTAATACAATGTTCAGTTTGCTCAAACTCTATGCCAAGAAAATGTTTGAATTTACCCATATCTTTCATTTTGAATCTAGCAGTTAGCAGTTGCTTCACCGTTTTCAAAACAATCTCATTACTGGCTGCAATGATAATATCATCAACCCAAACAATAAGGATCACTTTGTCTTTTGTTGATCTGGTGTAAACACAACAATCTGCATAACTCTGAACAAAACCGTTCTCTATTAGATAGTCATATAACGTTCCATTCCAGTTTCTGCCTGATTGCTTAAGCCCATAAAGTGATTTTTCCAGCATGTAGACCAGTTTTTCATTGGTTTTTCCTGTTACTTTATAACCTTCTGGCTGCTCAACGTAAACCTCAGAATCTATCGGTGCATTAAGGTATGCAATTTTCTATGGTTACAATGTCCCACAATTTCGTGCCATGTTTGCAGATCGAAACAGTTATGACAGTTTTTGTACTCACTCACAGTTTCCAGCTGCTGCAAGCCTGGCTCTGGGTTGCGATCTTGCCTTCATGATGTTATCTTCTTGCTCCATTAAGAGCATTTTCCCAGTGTCCTCATAGCTGCGAAGTTTAGTTTTAAAATCAGCAAACTTTATTTCTGATTCACGCTGTGTGATGTGAACAGAAAAAGGTTTAAAACTGTCTGGTAAACCCTTTAACGCCATTGCTACCAGCAGACCATCACTAAGTGCTTCTCTGGCATTTCTCAGGGCTGTAATAAGAGTCTCAGCCCGTATGACGTATTCTGTCACACTCTCACTGCTTGCTTTCTTCAGAGAAGTCAGTTCAGTATAAAGGCTGATAATTCTGGGTGTAACTTTTCCCGCATAGTAGTTTCTCAGTATCCTCAATGCTTCACGTCGATCGTCAGCAGCATCTCGCATCACGAGCGATAGAATCTTATCATCCAGGAACTGTATTAATTCAGCATAGGCCTGGGCGTTCTTGTCTTCATCTTCATCATCTCCCTTGGTAACGTTCAATATCGTGTCCTTAAGACCTTGTAATCGGAGATGTCCTAAGAATTTCGTCTCCCATAGCTCATGATTGTTCTCGTCACCATCGAAAACCAGTCTCGCCCATCGGCTGTTCGTCTCCATTGCACGCTTGCTCATTATACTATCTTAGCATGCTAGTCCTCACCACACCAAACACGCTGTACTTTGCGACTATCCTGGTGGCGGCGGCGTCCTCTTAAGTCACTTCGGATATTCGCTGGGCCCATAACCTGTTAGCAGAGACGTGTCTTCAGCCGAATATGCATGCATATACCGAAGTAACTATCTCGAAGGGACAAACACTCAGGAGACATCAGTTTACTTCCTGGGAATCTCACAAACGTGATTTCCTCTCCCTTTAATACAGTCTCGTGTAAACATGCAAAAAAAAAAAACAGAACAGGAAGTACCCCTACAAAATAAAACACCAAACAAATGAGAGCATACACATTATACTTAGTTTCCTAAGGATTTCAGAGCCCTATTGAGTGTATATACAGGAATGAGATCGGACATGTATTTTGGCCCCATGCCTTTGAGTAATTTATAAACTAGTAGTAGCACTTTGAAATCTATTCTGTGTTTTACTGGTAACCAGTGTAGGGATCTAAGAACATGAGTGATGTGCTCCGTTCTCTTAGTTCTTGTCAAGACTAGCAGCAGCATTCTGAACAAGCTGCAGTTGCTTCACAGCTTTTTTGGGAAAACCAGCTAGGAGACCATTGCAGTAGTCCAGCCAGTATCAGGCGAACATGGCCTGAGGATGATGGTCGACGGGTAAGGGTACTGTGGCTGTGTTTGTGTTTAAAAGCTAGCTTGTTTTGCTACTGAAGCTTTAAACACTAAATAACCAATTAGGCCTAGCACATTTTAAAAAATGGTGTTTAAACATGCTGATGCCAGGTAAGAACTGATTCAACAAAAACAAAAATCAAAGCCAAGAAAAAGTTTCTGAGTTTTACTATTTTTCAATCAGAAAAAATGTTCCATTTTTTATTAGGGGCAATGCCTAAAAACATGGAAACTGAAAACAGAAGACTAGTCATTTGCCACAGATTCAACTTCTGGGTTACTCTCATTTATTTAACTGTTCCGTCTATGGTCAATGTTCATACCTTGGTGTGTGCATACCTCTATGCACCTGGCCACCCCTTCTCTCCAGTCTTTGGTCTATGTTCATTGCAACATAAAGTACCACATACTGGCCTGACATAGTGGCCAACAGCAGTTTTTATTTGTTTTTTTAATTGTGTGTTTTCGCATGCATACAGAGATTAATAAAATCTGACATTTACTGGAATATTTTTTAAGAGTGACAAATCAAAAGATTATTTTAGGTGAAGTGTTGTGAGTCACTAGGAACTCAATCCCACATTTGTCTAAAAATTCAACACAAATATTACATTTGTTGTTTAATTCACCTTGTTCCATGGTATAATTATGCTGTTCCGCTGCATCTTCACTCTAGAATAGCAAGTTGAAAAATTAAAATACCCTAAAAGCAAAGCAGCAATGAGACATCACAAGCTTTTCTTGGCAGACAGTAATACTGGAAACTCCGGTATAATATTAGGAAATCTTCAATTGTATTAAATATGAATACCAAACAACCCTAAAACATCTCGTCTACATTAAAGATGTGATAGAAGTTTTCCAGCTACTTGTTCATGTTTTATTTAAAAATATGACACTCAGGGGAAAAGGATGAAACTGTAATAAAAAATAAAAGTGGAATACAATTCCAAAGTCGCCATAAGTTCAAACGTCCTAATGCAATGCACAAGGCTGCTCACCGTTTCCAGGTGTTCATTATTCAAAGCAGGGGATAACATCCTGAGGGTCATACCGTGTTCTAATTCCTAATTAACTGCCCAGAACAGAGATCATGGTCACAAGTGACCTTGACAGCAAAAAAAAGCGCCAGCTTATGTCTCGGGGCGCTGCTCCTACTCGTGTTTTGAACCATTCACTTCCTCTCCTGACGTAGTTAATGTTAATGTGTGCCACATAAATGGAAGAATTGGGTCATGCTTTGGGAAAGACGACCAACAAATAACTTGCTTGAGTTTATAGTGGTTTTCAAGATGGGGCTCAACTGCAAACACCTGTGGAATTATGGGTAATCACAGTTAAAAGACCTCAGGAGGGTTTTGTTTATTCTGGGCATGCCCTTTGTCAATCAAACCATGTTAAAGCAGGGGCAAAAACAACAAGTAATTCCTGACTTTATAGATAATCTCAACTGAGGCTGCATACCTATTACTGGCAAGTCTTTTTTTACTCCGTCTCTGTGATTAGTCATGTGTACACTTGCAGCAAACATACGTACTGAGGTAATACCGGCACAAAAGGATGCTGGTGACTAAATGTCTATGTTTGCTCAAGACTGAGGAAGCCCGCCGATTGACGTTGCAACACGGGCCACCTGCAGTCTGGGAAAAAGGTTTCTGGGGTGGAATTAGAGGATACTAAGGAATGAACTAGACAGACATGAGTAACCCGGCCCAATACGCTGCTTATCTCAAGGCTTATATTTCACAAAGGACCAGATAAGCTAATACATGCTGGCAGGATTGGGGGGGCGCGAATGGAGAAAGGAGAAGAAATTAGGCAGGTGGGGCATGGGAGGTGGGGTGAGGGTGAGGAATACATACCGAGGTCAGAATTTACAGGAGAGCGGTCATTTGCAACAGAGCCTGGATGCTTTAAATCTCCACAGAACAGTTAACCATTGACTAAAGGGACTCAAAGCCGGAGCTCCATGTCTGTCATGGTTATTCTACTCTGGAGGCCATGAGCGCCAAGCATGAAGCCATTATTAAAGCCTCTACCTGCCCTGGGCAGTGAATGCAACACTAATCAATGAGAAAGAGCTGCATTGTGTTCCGTCTTATAGGGCAGGTGATATGTTGGTGTGTGTTCACGTATGAAATCCCGTCTGTCCGGGTTTCCCCTTCAGGACGGCTGTCTGGATTATAGAGATTAGCTTTATGCTTTAATCATTAACTTGTGACAAATCAGGAAGCTAAAATAATATTAGCCATCACGCATTTCACATTGTGTCATTGTCTAAGGACCTAAAATAATTAACTTTATTAACTTAGACCAGAGCCTGAGATGGAATAGAAGTGTTTAAAAAGAGGTGTGCTGTGTCTTTCTTACCTAGATTTGAAACTTTTCATCTTGTTTTATTTTACTTCAAGTTATACAAATGTATTTATTTGAAGAATCTTTCTCAATATGTCTTCTTGACACTACTGCCTGGGTTGAAAACTTTTAATTTTACTGCATTTTTTTTTTAAATAATTTGGTTAAAGAGATATTTTGAACATTTTGAACTGGTTCTTTTCTTGAACATGTTCAATAATCTTACCTGTTATATAAAGTTTCCTGATTCAACTGTATTTGAAGGAATATTCACATCCAGCAGAACATATGAGCTAACAGCAAAGCACACTCAAGTTCAAGTGCATTGCTGCCATCTTCAAAAAGCTGTAATCTTCCATTTTTCACAGCGTTCTTTTTTTATATATATATGGATTTTTTCATAAATGTTCTCGCCATCATCACAAGTGAATTGCATGGGTATTTTTGGCAGAAACATTGTGACATTTTAACAAGATTTTACAGGATGTGCTACAATTCGCTGGTGCTGTTTATTCTTATGAATATCTTATTTACAGTTTTACACAAAACACACTTTCAAAGCACGTGCTAAAATAGAAAGTGCTACTTTTCTATTATTTCTGAGTGATATTGAATATAGTATTGGAATTGTACGATTTCTAACTTACACAACTATTTCAATACCAACACCACATATTTTTTACATTAAAAGTACAATCATAATAGATGTATTTGCTTATATTTTCACTTGAACATTTTTATTGTTTTATTTTCACTCTGTCCTTATCCCCTATATGCAGTGAAATACAACATAATAGAATAGACTTTATTGATCCCACAGTGGGGAAATTCACTTGTTAGAGCAGCACCAAGTTTTTATACTAATTGCATTTTACATGTTTAACAAGTATTTGTACCAGCAATTCTTTGGGGATCAGAGATAAATTACAAAATGTGTTCTTTGTAGATGTAACATGAACATTTAAAAAATAAAAGAAATTATGATTTTGCAACTACAAACACATATAATATTGAGCCAGGACTGGGCCTAAAATCAATATGACAGTATAGTGAGGATTTCACCTTGATAACGATAAATGGACGATAACTACAGGTATGCGCAGAAACAAAAGTTTTCGACTAGACGGGACTATCGTGTGTATTTTGTTGAGTAACAATGTCATGTGACTCAAGGTGGTACAGCTTCTTAAAGGGACACGAACGTCGCCAACCTGCACACATCTTTTAATTAGAATTTATTGGCATGGGAAAAACTATATCGGTTACAGTCAGAAATTCTGATAACGATACATTTTTTATTTATTGCCCAGCCCTATATTGCGCATAATGTTAAACAAATCACGTCATGTCATAAATAAGACATTATTGTCACACTGGTGTTTATATCATTTCAGTATATTTTCAGGATCCCTTGTTTTCCTTTTTTCATGTTTCATTTCCATTTTGTAATATTACTTTTTAGTTCTTGTTTATAAAAGTTTTTTTTTACTTTTATAAATTGTGCTTGTGAAGCACCTTGCAGCTCTAATCTTGGAAGGTGCTTCATAAAAAAACTTTTCTACTTTTGGAAACGGCAACAGAATGGCAGGAAAACAAGCAAACCCACACGATTAGTCAAAAACTTGCAATGTTTTATAGTAAAAGCCAACAAAAGGGATAGGAGTTCAATTTGAAAATTAAAACGTTGATAAAACAATACTTATTAAGATTTGACTAGAGTATCCAACATGTACTCTTAAAGTTCAAAAGCCTGATCTGTGCTAAAAACAACATTTTTAAACGTGAAGCCCACTTTCTGTTTTAATTCAGTGTGTATCTTCATTTGCGGAATGAAAAAATGCCCTGAGCTCAGCACAGCTCCTTTTAAGCACTTCACCATAAGCCATAAGTGACAAAATTGAACTTCAGCTGTCAAGTACCTCAATTTCATCCTCGTGGATATTATGCAATTATCTGCTGCGCCAGGAAACAAATCCCATTGACTCGTTCCTATTTAATTCCTCCACTTGAAAATCCTCTACATCTGCTTTCTCTGAACCTGTTTTTTTTATAAATAAATAAAATTTTTAATAAAAACCCTGCTCCTGTTAAAATCTTTTTAAGAACTGTGTGCTACAAGAACCTACCCTACGCTCTTATTTGATTTAAAAGTGACAAAACGTGGCAGGTGACAACGGTGCTTCCACAAGAGGAAATAATTATCGGAATGTGGAGAGACGGGGGGATTATTCATTTCGGAGGAATCGTTGCCAGCTAAGAGAAAAACTGTTGACAGAGTAGCAGGAGATGGAGAAAAGGGGTGATGTACGGTTTCCATCAGCAAACAAAACACTCCATATTTCTTTAAAAGACAAAGTGTTAAGTTAGGCTACTCTGCACACTGTCAATAGCAACGTTCATCATCAGGCCAGCCACAGTCTATATATTGATGAAACCATCCATCACTTAAACTCTACAAGACATTATTTCTAATTAAAAACTAAGTCATAAATTTTGGCCTTTATTACCAGACTGAGGCTGTAAATAAAATCCAAGGGAGGGCAGAAACAGACTGCAGCCTCTACCCGTGGTTTAGAGCCACCGTAAACGGAAAAAAAGGGACAGACGATTGCGATGGCACCTTCGAGATCCTCAAACGTCTCCTCTGGGGTTGACAGGAGGAGGGTGCTCAGCTTCAACCCAGTTAAGCAGATGCAAATCAATAATTCCTCTGCTTGTGTTTTTATAAGACAGGCACTTCCCTTCAAATGGCTGCATGCATACGAAGAACAAATATGTAAATTAAGTTTTCATAAACCACATGGGCATATTCACAGAGACAGCAGTGGGTGTACTTGAAGATGATGTATAATCATAAGAGGTCATAAAAGTGTACGAAATGCTGCATCACAACAGCAGGTTGGCTGGCGATGACAACCAGCCCAAGCTCTCCCCGCGTCCCCCCATTTTCCTCAGCTAAACAACGGTTTTTGCTGCCAAATACGTAGTTGCTGGACATTATTTAATGATCCCTGTTGATAAAGAGGCCATTAGCACACCTACGTAGTGGCCAGGGCTCTGGCGCTGGACGGGTAAACGCAAAACATACTCAGTCAAAAGCGAGGAACACTTCCCGTTTGACAACTTCTGATTGCCTCAGCGTGAGCGCGGGTTGTCAGAAGGTGAACTCTGCCGACAGCCGGCTGAGAGTGGCAGAGTGTTGGTTATTTTCTGACAGGCGCAGAAGGATGTCTGATTTCACAGGTATCAGTCTAAAGGGAGGGAGAAAATTGGGGGAAGAAAATGAAGAAAAGGCAAGTATGGGCTTCGCAACCTTTACTGCCAAAGAAAAATGAAGTCAGTACAATCAGTCTTTATTTGTCTCCCTTTCCTCTACGATGTTGGCTTCTTCTTTCTTACCTGCCCAAGCAGAAGTAGCTCTGACCCCGCGTGCGCTTTCTGGCTGACACTCAATAATGATGCAAAGGTCAGAGAGTCATAT